CCCAAGGCGGAGGCGCCGGCCGGGGAGGGGAGGCCGGGCCGGGCCCGCTGCGAGGGGGGTGGAGCGGGGCCCGGCCGGGGGGTGGGGCCGCCGAGCTGAGCCCTGCCCTCTCGCCCAGGTGAGGAGCGCGGAGGGGGAGGCGGTGGACGGGGAGGACCCCAGCCTGCAGCCGTCCGCGGCCAAGAAGGTGAAGCTGGAGCTGAAGGAGAGGAAGGAGAAGAAGCACAAAGTGGACGAGGACGAGATCCAGAAGATGCAGTGAGTGCCGGGGCGCCGGGCAGCAGCACCTGGGGAGGCTGGTGCTCGGGAGGGTTTGCCGCCGGAAACGGCAATAATCGTTTAATCTGTTTGTGAGCCCGCGGTTGACGATGTTCGCAGCTCCATCCCAGATCCCCCCACTCCCGAACGGGCCCAGCCACTTTGTGTTATAAACCTGGGCACCACTGGGGTCACTTGGCACCGCTTTTCCCTTCACGGCTCGGTTTTGCACTGCAGGAGGCTGGGAATGGTAGAAGGGCTTTGCAGGACTGTTGCAGCGGCCTGAAGAGCTTAAGACATTTGTTTTTACTTTTGCTGTAAATGATCAATTCTTTCCACCCCAGAATACTGGTCTCTTCCTTTTCTGAAGAACAGCTGAACCGTTACGAGATGTATCGCCGGTCTGCTTTCCCCAAAGCTGCTATTAAACGGGTATGACTTCAGTAATGCTTCACCACAGACGGAGCCTGAGCAGAGTAAGCAGGCTGAGCCTTACTAAGCCTGGCTGTGGTTGTATCTGGGCCTGACTCTGCAGTGTGCTCTCCTCCAGCTGCACCTCGGCCCCTGTGGCTGAGACCATTGTCTTCAGATCAGGTTATCCCATTATAGTCTACCTCAGTGGCCTTGTGTGGCTTACACAGTTTAAATAGGAGCCTGTCTTAAATAACGGTGGTCTGGGGGGCCGTAAGGGAAATGTAATTGCTGGTACAGAGTCTGCAGCTGAATGAGGGTAAGCTAAAATCTTGACAGCCAGCTTGTGCCCAAAGCTGTAGGACCTACTTCTAAGGCTCAGTTACTGCTGTTCTGTGCGTTTCAGTAGCCCTTGGCTGGTATTTGACAGGCTCAAAGCACTAAATGTGAGTTAAAATGTTTGACCGCTGCTGTGTGTACCTCGCTCAGCTGACTGTCCTTCTCTGCTTGTCCAGCTGATCCAGTCCATCACCGGCACCTCTGTCTCTCAGAACGTGGTTATCGCCATGTCTGGCATTTCCAAGGTCTTCGTTGGGGAGGTGGTGGAAGAAGGTGAGTGGTAAATGTTGAGTAAAAAGTTAAGAATACAGGCCAAACTCATTGCTTACAGCAGAGCAGAAGGATGTGGAACAAGACTGGATGCTCTGGGCTCCTAGTCTTGCTGTCCCATGGGGCGCTTGGACCTTCCAGCAGCAGCAGGCGGCTACAGGTGAGAGCTAAGCCAAGAGACGGGTGAAGTGTGGTGTTGCCTATAGTCCCCTCTGATCCCATCAGTACAGAGGTTGGTGACCACCGACCTCCTGTTTTATCCTCTCTAAAGAGCATAACTTACACATTCTTGCTCTGTAAGTCGGCCTGTGCGCAGGCTGCAAGAGGGCAGTACGGGTCTTTTGTTAGTACTGCCATGGACAAACTCAGCCCAGAGGGAAATGACTTATTTAAGCCTCTTAACTGGTAAGATTCTTCCTTTATGGGATGAGCAGCAATCTCTTTGGGACAGGTGGTGGGAGGCTGGCCCAGCTGTGCCCCTGCTCTGCTTGGGCTGGAGGAGGAGGTGCTACTGGTTTTGATGCCAACCAGTTTGTATAGACTTGCCACACAAAACATGGCCTATATGTGCCGGGATCACCATTACTGGGGTGATGCAGTTTTGCTGCTGTCTCTGCAGTGCTGTGTCTTGCCTGAGGTGGTTTGGGTAAGCAGCTTCACTGCTGTCATTAATTGTTTCATGTTGTTAATTGCTTCAGGTCCTTGGCAGGAGGTGTGAATAATACTGTAAATGATAGAAAAGAAACTGGCCTGTAAGTCTGCTGTAGGCTGCACCTTTCTGTCACTGCTGTATGCTACCAGCTCAGAACACCCACCTAGCCTAGGGCTGGCTTTAGGGCAGGCAGTTTAAGATCATAAGTTCTCGTGTGGCTCCACAGTAGCTGAGTGGTTTAAAAAGCAGTTTCATTCTCGTGTATTAACAAAATGTGAGCTGTAAACCCTAAACAAAAGTGTTACCTGTTGCCTTTAAAATAAAGCTTCGACAGTAAGAGACTGGCTAAGCTTAGGTGCCCTGCCCTGTGAACTCTTTCATTTGTATTGTTTAGCACTGGATGTCTGTGAGAAGTGGGGAGAGCTGCCACCTCTGCAGCCCAAACACATGCGAGAGGCGGTCAGGAGGCTTAAGTCACGAGGACAGATCCCCAACTCCAAGTATAAAAAGATCATCTTCCACTGAAATGTCCCAAGAGAAGACAGAAGTTAAAACAAGTTCCCGGTTGTGAACCTCACAACAGCTACAGCAGAGCTACGAGACTGAAGCTCCTTCGGGAGCGTTGTGTGTAGACTTAAGTGACTGCAGGCAGGCTTCCTGCCATCGCTGCTGGAGTCTGGCATTCATCTGAGCATGGTGCAGAAATGGGCAGGAGCCAAATCCCTGACCTGGAGGCTTAGGCTCCCTCTCCTTCAACAGAGCAGGGATAAGAACGCCCAAGGTCTTCGGTGTATTCACCCACCAGGGTCATACTTTCTCCTGGCACAGATGTAGTGGTGTCTCTGTACAGAAGTGTGTCTTTTTTTTTTGTACATTAAACTTGTTATGGTATTCTTAGTCTTGCTGGGAAATACTAATTGTGTAATGGTGTTTGTGTGATTCAAAGTAGGGGGATCTGTCTCAACCAACCCTGACATGTTCCTAAAGCTTCGCCTTGCCTCAGGCAGGTATTGTTCCATTAGCATAAGCCGGGGAAGGCATGCTGAAAGCTGATGCTCTGAAGTCATCACTCAGCTGTTCTTCCCAAAGCCAGGTTGGTGGAGCTGTCTAGAAAACAGTGCAATTAGGAAAGTGAAGTGGGAGGGAAGGGGAGGAGGAAAAAAAAAAAAAGCATGAGCCTGTGAGGAGGTTAACAAGTTTAATTTCTTTTCATGGTTCATAGAACCAATAAATGCATGAGTGGAAATATACTGCAACAAAGTTCCAATACTGCCTAAAACTCAAATTCAAGTTCAGACTTGCACATTACCCACCTGTACATACAGTAGTCCCCTGTGAGCACACTTCTAACTAAACATAAAAGATGCTGAGGCCGTGTGCTCTTCCTAGGGTGATGGTGTTGTAGTTACACAAAGGATTAAGATGGCTCTCATCATAAAACAGAAAGAGTCCTTAAATAAAAGGCTCTAAAACGTAAACTTTGCTAATCATCATCAGTGGAGATAGGGGAGTTTTTGTCCTCCCACGCATATGCCTCATAGAAAGGACATGGATTTTGTTTTACAGTACTTTTTCCTGGTACTTCAAAACAAACAATGGAAGTGCTTTAATTCTTAAACAAAACCAGTTGACTTAAGTGGCTGGAGTAAGAAATTTGCTGTAAACAACCTGGCCCCAGCTCTGTTCAGTCTGCACATGTGGGAGGGAACAGTAAGGAGTTGTGTAACACAGCAAGTAGGCACCACCTCTGAGAAAACCCTTTACACCTTACTCATTTCCCAGGCTGGCTGGACATGAAGCTGGACACATATTCAAACAAAAAGTAATGAAAATTTGAAAGCGAAGAAAGAAACCTCCCATTTTCAAGCAATTAGTGAATAAAAAGAATACCATTGCATTCCACCTAAGGCAAGCATTCTTGTATTTCTTGCTTCACACAGGAAGAGGGAGCAAGCACAGAAGCACAAAGGTTTGACAAAGCAAAGTTTAACTTTTGCTTGTGTAGACTTTGTGCAGTTAGTAATGGTACTTACAGTGAGCTGTTCGCATATAGGTTTGTTTCACAGCAAGCCTAGATATGTAGATGCTTTGTTACCTCCTTTCTCTCTTGCCATGAGAGCTGCTCATAGCAAGAGTCCTACTTACTACAGGAGGTAACTTGCATTTCAGAACCCCTGCTTTTACTTCTGAATTCTTCTATGCACGAGGCAGTATTGGTGAAGGAAATGCCCACTGACGCTTAAAAAGTTAAAGTGCATTTTCCTCTCAAGAACAGGCCTGACAGGCTGCTCTAGTACATTTTCCATCACAGGCAGCACCACAAATCTGTCCTGTCAAAGGCTGCATCGAGCAGCGGACGGGTCACAGAATGTGCTCCAGAGAAAACAGCCAGGTTGTCTAACAGGAATGAGGAGGAGTAATCCTCTCCCATGGAGAAAGGAGAAAAACTGGCAGAAGTCAAAGCATCCAACCATCAGAGCTAGCCCAGGCTAAGTGGGTGGTGAGCGTGAAACCTCCTGCAGCTTAGCTCCCATGCTTCTGCCACAGGCAAGTACTCCTTTTAATTCATTTGTGGCTGCCTGCTTCCAGAGGTTCTAGAAGGAAGGTCAGGCTCTCACTGGTCAGTCAGATCTTGGCAGAAATACTGGACTCGGGAAGTACAGCCTGCCCCAAGGCTGTCTGTTCAAACCTACTGTACAAGGACTAATTCCAATAAATGTTATTCAAAGCTACCTTCAGTCTAATAGAGTCAAACACAGAATTAAGATGATGATCTTAAGTGACAGTTGTTTTAATCACCGTCCATCTCTTGCATACCTTCTTTTTTCAAAGTGAAAGCTAACAACCACAAGGAATTCACTCTTGGCTCCCTGCAAACCACAGACAGCAGTGCCTCCACATCTAGCCTAACACTGTAAATATGTCCCCATTTCCCCTAGAGCTAAAGAAGAACTAAAATGATCTCAGGAGTGTCTGTTAAGGGGAGGTGTTCGACAGCTCTAGACCTGGGCAAAGGGACAATATATAGGAGTACAGTAGGAAAAACAAACTTAACTCCCAACTTAATTACTTTCTTTTGTGTAGTTTCCGGGCCTCAACTCATCATGGCTTGTAAATCAGAGGCTGCTCCTTGCATAGTGAGCAGGATTAAAATCTTGTATTACTTTAGCTAAACTAATTTCAGTGGAGTAGTGCTTACATAGAAAAAACCCAGAAAAAATCCATTAAAATTTTGGGGAGTGTGTTCAGCTAAGAAACACAGTAAGAGTTACCTAACCTTTATAGACAAGTGAAGTTTTCATCTGATAATAAAGGAGCATCGCATATAATCTGTCACTTTTCCTAGCACTTAGTGTGTGGCAATCGCTACCTGTTTTACATGCACTAAGAAGCCTGTGCATCAGAAATGGTACATTTACACAAACACCAAATGCATCTGGAAAAATCCAAATCAAAGTTTGAAATAAGATAAAAATCCAACAAACTCTGCACACAGTAAAGATGCTGTGTATGACGGGGAGGGAACAGGTGTTCATCCGTAACACAGAGGGGGCTGAAAGTCACACCCTTCTCTATCAGAGCAGCTTCTCTGCTGGAACAGCTTCTCCCTTCAGAACTGTCCCTTACAGCAGCTTCTCTCTTCAGCACATCGACCGTGTATTACCCAGACTAGTAGAGCAAAGAAACCACCTTCCAGTTTGTCTTCCAGAGTGAATTTGATTCTTGCAGTTCATAAATGACGTTTCCTTTTTTACTTCTTAAAATTAGTGTTTACTTCTTATTTTACCAGGATTTTCTTTTTTCCCCTCCACACTTGTAGATGCTATTTCTTTATAAATTAAGTCAGTCACTGACCACAGAGACTTCTTCCTCTTCAGGGAAGCAGCTTCAGAAAAGGTGAGAATACAAACTATGCTCAACCCAGCAGCTACTGTTTCATCTCCACCCCACAGTGAGCAGTTAATAGTGTCAGCCTCCACCCAAGGGGGCCTGGTCAGCACTCTTTTCCTGATCCACATACCAACGTCCCTGTTAAAAGACATTTAAGACCGTGCAAGAGCTTAGTCCCAATAAAAAAAAATACATGACCATGTAGGAACAGACAGCTTTTTCCTTGGGTGGCCAGTACTGCCCCCCCTCTCTTCACCAGTGAAACTCTGGCATACAATGGTTTGAGCACAGTGTGCATCCCAAAGAAAATGCACAGGTCATCTCATCCTGTGACTTTAACCAACTTCCTTCACCCCTGTTCTTTGACAGTAAATTTAACAAAGTTTAAACAGTGCTTTGTAATGGAATAAATTAATGCCTTTGTGTTTCTGCATCAATAAAGCCAAACATTGTGGGATTAAGTAAGAATAAACTAGACTAAGTCTAATACACTACCAATTCTGTCTTGACACAACAAATTATTGGTGGAAAAAGGAGTCTGAAGGAATTTCTTTACTATCCTGACCCTGTTCTTGGCGGGGGGGGGGGGAAATCCCTTCTGCATCTCCCACACCCACCAACCTCCAATGTTTGTTTGTCATGCAATAGTACACATGCTTTCACATCAGAGCTCTGAGCAATGTTTTCTGCCATACCTATTCTCTGCCACTCCTGATGTAGTGAAGTAACTACTCTTCTTTTTCTGTGTTCTTTGGCATGCATGACTGGGCAAGAACGCAACAAGGAAGGCTGAAAGAAGCAGAAACCCCAACATAGACCATCCCCAGATGTTACCGTGAAAGGTGAAAGCTGAAAGCACACTGTCACTACCACCCATGGATGAAAGGACATAGGGGTGTCCCCCTCAACTTCTGACCTTTTGTTTGTAGGCTGACCACTGCCTTGGTTCAGTGACAGAGGCAGCACCATACTGCCAGGACAGAGGAATGTGGCTGCAAACATAACTCCTCCTTGTTCCTTCCCTGTTACTCAGCCAGGCCTTCCTTCCTTTCCCCCTCTTTCAAGCTCATTTTGCAATCACAGTTGGTTTCCATTCTTTGAGGCAATCAGTCTCCAGGAGGTTGACCCGTTTAGCAGCAATATAATCAAACTAGCCGCCTTAGTGCTGGTGGTGGTCTCCACTCCTCCTGAGCAGCTGCAGCCTGTGCCTTCACTGTCAAAGCTGGAAGAGGGGATTGTATTTCCTAATTTCCTGCAGAAGGCGAGCCTTGTCCATGTTGGCTTCTGCAAGGGCTATTTTCATGGTCTGAAGCTCCCTTTGCAACTCTGGCACTTCCTTTAACTATAAGAGACAAACAGAGAAAAAACAAACCAGGGGTTTCCAAAGGTAAGCAGCAGGGCACATCTGACTACACCAATCTGCTCAAAGAAGAAAACCAAAGCAGGAGCTTTTGAGATTAATTACACTACATGACACAACCACACAAAGCTCACTGACAACGTGACCCACTTTGATTTGCAGGAGTAAGTCCTTGCCAACTGGTGCCTGCTGACTTCCGTACCTGTCATTAGAGTCAGCTCACACTGCCAGTGATGGCTAACAGCTATTTTCTCCCAAGACATTCCCTTGACATTTCTAGGCATAGGAACAGAACTTGCAGTGGGCAAGGCTTTTTTTTCCTGCAAAGCGGCTAGCTGATTCTGGCTGCCGATGACTATACAAAGAAAGCAGGAAAAAAAAAAAGAAAAAAAAATTGGTCTCCAAGCTGCATCCCTCTTTTACAAGGGGTCCTGATACACCTATAAAGATTTGTTAAAATTAAGATGATAGCTGGAACAAGCAGATGCCTGGCATTCCTATTTCTTGTCTCCATGAACAAAGTTAATTCTGTCCTCAAACAATGCCAGTGAGATCCCACTGCAGTTTCATGGCACAGGGCAGTTTTTTTCCTTGGGCTCTCAGAAATATTTTTACCAAAGAATTTAGCCTTTGCATTTGTTCCTCTTAAGTTCATCCTAT